CGGAGGGTTCGTTTTAATGCTCGTTGCCTCCGAAGCACTGTCAAAGAATAAGGTTTGTGGAGAGTTCCCCGTTCTGTAACAGCATGTTAAAAATGATGAAGCCTAAATACTGCGTTTAGCTGCTTGGCAGTTGCTTTCTAGCACTTTTTCAAATCTGGGGGAAGAAAAAAAAAAAAAGGCCTGGCTTGGTTTTTATTTGGTTCGTGGTAAGTCTCTTATTAAGAGCTATTGTTACGCCTGGGCCTGGCTCCCGGGGAGGAATGACCGTTTGCCTAATGGATTTTGTTGGCATTTTGATCTGTTCCCTGTGTTTCCTTTCCTCGCCGACCCGGCTCCCCCTTGATGTGCACAACAGCAGCCAGGTCTCGTGTGGGATCGGGGCTTTTGCAGAGAAGGGCCTGCCCTTAAAATTGCTCTAAGGATGGAGCAAACTGCTGCTTTTTGGACAGAGCTGCGTGGGCGTCACTTGGGGTTGCTGATGCATCGATGGGGCCTGCTGCCCCTCTCTGCTCCTGTTTACAGACAACCCGTCCGGCTGGGTAACGTTTCTGCCTTTGTTTGTAAACAGTTTTGCCATAAACCCCGTGGAAACTGCAGGCGAGATTGAGCACAAGGCACCAGGGATCTCATCAAAGCCGCCTTGCTGGGAGGGCTGCGTTTCCCGCCCGCTCCCGGGGCCGCCCGGAGCCAGAGGAGTGTTTGTGTGCGTGTAAACACTGGGAATTCGAGGAGAAAAGGAGAGGGCCGTGGATTTGTTTGGCATCTCTGGGTTATTTGTACACAGGACTGAATTAATTTCCAGCATACTGAAGTGCTTTCATGGCTTCCAAAAGCAGTTTCATCTGTTAAACTCGTGGAGGAAGGAGGCGCGAGAGGGGTGTTTTGCTGTGAACAATCTCAAAATGTCAAGAACGAGACACGGCGAAAAAAAATCCTGTATTGTTTTGTCAATAAATAATTCTTCCTCGTGCACGCAGCACAGAAACAGGCCTTTCCCCTGGAAGCAGCAATATTTGATACCCCAAGCAGCTTATTCCCAGCTCAGCTCCCACTTCACTGAATACACGGATCGATTATCCGGGGCTTAACCAAGCTTCTCATTTCCTGCCTGCCATTACTGCGCTCAATCAACTGCTGCTTTTTGTGGGCTGCCTTGTGCTCCCAGATAAGCCATCGAGGCATGTTGCTATTAGAAAAGCTCTTGTAGATGCAGTAGTCATTAGATAACGCTCACGACTTTAAGGGCTGCAGGTTTTGTGCTGGCTGGAGCAGGGTGAGAAAACGGGAGCCAAAAGGGCTCCCTCCTTAGGCTGCTGTTTTCCAGGGGCAGGAGGGATTAAGCAGCCTATTGCTGGATTTAATGGCCTTATTTAACGTTTGTATTTCTTGCTGAATATTGATAGCTCTCGCTTTTGACAGTGGTGTTGTGTCTGCGAGAATTAATTTGGGTGGCTGCTAATATGCATGCAGCTAAATGAAGTAAGCTGCAAAAATAGCGTGCTTTATTGGTAGTAATGTCCTCTGCATTTCTGCTCTGGATTTCCTTGGCTTTACAAACAGCTGCTGTTATTATTCACTCAGAAAACAGCTTGGGAAAAGGTATCCTGAGAACTGGGAAGAAAAAAGATCCTTGCCACATCATTAGATCCTGCTTTATTCACTGTTATGTTCTCCTTCCCTCTGCACACCTCTTTTTTTCTGCCTGTTCTGGATTTCTTTGCCTTCCCCCTTTTGAGAATGAATAAATGTTTTCTGCCCCAGAAGAGGGGGTCGGTTTGTAACAATAATAACAAAATCTCATGTCCGCTTGAAAACTGGCTCCGTGGGCCCCGCGCTTCTGTGTGGCGACGTAAAAGGCCTTTATTTTGAACAGTGGAGAGACTGTTTAAATATTTAACATACTATTAAAATAACACAAAGAAATCTGTTAGCCCAGAATTAATCACCTGGCTTTATTTTCCAACAGACAAAAAGAAATCCTTGTTGGAAACATATTTGCAAGTAAAAGACTTCCTCTTCCTTTTGCTGTTTGCTGCTTTCCTTTGAAATAGCAGCCGCTGCCCGACTCCGGCGGGCCCATCTGTCAGCGCCGGCGCTTGCTGTGCTGCTTCCAGAGCTCCGGGATTCAACACTCCGTCCAAGCAGGGCGAGCGAGGCCGGATCCTGCCTAAACCCCTCGGCGGGAGCGTGCGGGGCGTCCGGGGCCGTTGGCGCCGTTTGGTTCCAGCTCCGGGGGGACAAGGGGAGAGCTCTCGGGATGCAGGTTGTCACGGGCGGGAATGCCGTGTTTCCAGGAGGGTGGAAGAGGCCTCAGCGCTTGCCCCATCCTCCTCCTCCTGCCTCTCTGCATGGGTGAGTGTGTCTCAAATAGCTTCCTGCTCAAAAAGAAAAACACCCCTGCAAATATACCAAGTGCTTTGAGAGTCTTGCAGCAGCAGGCAGGCTTTGCTTTAAACAGGAGGATGGGGGTTGCAGCTGGGGAGGCTCTCGGAGCCACCGGAGACACTTCAAAGCACTTGCCATTTCTGGGATTCCTGAAAGGCGGCATCTGACATGCGGCAATTTGCAGCTTTCAGATGGGAAGGTGTAAAAATGTAGCACTTCATTAGCCAGGGGACACTTGTTCCTTTGTCTGCCTGTGTGCGTGGGGGATTTGTGCTTTTGGGGTTTTATTTGGGGTGTCCTGCCACCTCAGCATGGGCTCTGCCCTGCAAAAGACATCCCAGGTGTAGAAAGTTGGCTGACAAACCCGGTGCCCTCCATGTGGAAGGAGGGCGCAGGGCCAGTGCCACCGATGGGTCAGAAATGCCTCCTTGAGGGCATTGAGTCTGAGACCGGAATTTCGGCGTGGGAGACAAGTATGTCCCTGCCAAAATAAAATGCCTAAAGGAGTAAAAAGCCCCCATCTAAGTATAGATGTTCTGTCTGCCTAAGTAATAAGGTTTTGAATAGCGAGATGATAGAATACTGCAGAACAGGGAATACTTGGCCCTTCCAGAGTGTTAATATGCCTAATATTAACACTAATATTCCTTATTCACCCTCATAGACAGTGCAGGGATATCTGCACGCACTGAAGGGCTATGAGTGTCCCAGAAAGTGCTCCTTGGAGCTCCCAAGGCTCTGTAACCCAGGGAGAGCCCCCGGAGAAATTCCAAGGAACCTGGCAGAGAAATATTTGTTCACGTGTGTGTCACCTCACACCGCGCTGCAGACACGAGGCAGCAACCAAACATTCAGACCCACAATTATTTTCCTCTTTTCGGTATTCAGAGGGATGATTCATGAAGACTGAGGGGCAGAGGTTATTCCAGGGTAACCGTCGGCAGGAGCAGGCAGCAGAAATCCAAGAAATGTCTTCATTTTCATCTGCTTGTTTTGCATCAGGCGATTTTGTCCCCCCCAGACTTCAGTCCCGGCTCCCCCTGTATAACACAGAGGTGGATGTTGTGGCGAGCGCGGCCGGGCAAAATGCTGCCGCTAGCCGTTCCCTTGCAGTATGACATGTGCTTTGAATCGGCGCCTTCAGGAAACACCTTTAATGGCAGCGTTTCATTAGGAGGGGAGACGCTGCTCTACTAATTAAGCTGACGGTCTGGTTATATGTGACAGTTTTTAAATGCAACTGCTTTAAGGGCGTCTGGAGACAGGAGGACCACGGTGTGGAACCCAAGCAGCGCCCGGAGCTGCCTCATCCCTCAGGAATGTTCCCTTCCCGCCAGGCCTTCCCCCCTTCTTTTAATATCCACTACTGAGGGCTTCAAAGCAGCTCTGTGCAATAACCTGACCTAAACAGACCCCTTCAGAGGGGTGTATAGGGGTGGATATGCTGTGGATTCCCAGCTGCGGTTGATACAGGCTTGTGTAAATCTCCGTTTGCCTTATGTGAGCAATCCAGGTCTGCAATTAGTTGGATTAAGATGCAACATCTTATTGCTTTGTGGAAAATAAGTAATAAGGAACCTTCAGTGTTGTGTCTGCAACCATCTGTCCTCTGGGGAAAACCTGGGATCTGTTGGTTTCCAACTGTTAGCATTGCACTGAGTTAATGCTTTTGTTGGTATTTTCTTTTTCCTTTTGTATTTGGCCGAAATGGTTTGGTTTGTAGCAATTAAATGCCCAAGCGGCAGTTGTATGGGGGTGGTAATTGCAACCCTTTGCTGATCCCTGCCCTTCTTTCTTGGTAAGGGTTTTTGTGACTGAATATGGTGGTATTTGCAGGTCACCCGCAGAGATAGAGCTGTGTGAAAATACGTCTGGTTCTTGCTGTCTTCATTTAGTTTGAAAGTCATCCTGCCATTAGCACCTGCCATGTCGCATGTCCTAGCAGCATCACCTCCCTTTGGGGTCTCACCTGGTTTTCTTCTGTGTCAAAAGGAATCCTGTCCTTGGGAAGCTTGTGTCGCCTGCGCTCTCATTTCTTGGTTAGTAATGCCTCTAGACCTTGTTTTTCAGAGCAAACGGGACCATCTCCTCATGAATGTCAAGTGGTACTACCGCCAGTCCGAAGTCCCGGATTCGGTCTACCAGCACTTGGTGCAGGACAGACACAACGAGAACGGTGAGAATGGCCCTCACTTGGCCTCTGAATTTGGCATTTGGGTTCAGACAAATCAGAACTGAGTAGTTAGCGCTGTTGAGGTGTTGCTGAGAGTTTGGGGCTCAATGTACTTAATTAAAACATGTGTCACCCAGCACCCATAAGTCAGCAAATAACTTCATTCCTCTCAGGTGGGAGGGGACTTTAGTGGTCAATATTGTCAGGAGAGCTGAGGGGAGGAAAAATCCTCTGCATGAAATAGTCTTGGAAGAAGAGCTGGTAGGGAAACTGATAACAGCAAAAGGTTGTAAAGCCACGGTTGGAAGTGCCACCGATGGCACTGTGGGCATTAGGGTTGAAAGGACACCCCTGTGCACGCGAGGTGGCCTTGGCTGTGCCTCTAGAAAAGCTTTCTCAGCAGCACAGCCCTTCGGACGTGGCAAAGGAGAATTCCTGCCTGGGACACTGTGTCAAGTGGAGGTCGGGCTCCTCCTGTACCTGCCAGGCACTGTAAATCGTTAATGCGTTAAGTGCTTGGATGCTGCTGCATCCTGCGCCATGGAAAACCCTGTTTAATAATGTTGGATATCAGTATTTGTGTAGTGCTAACGTAGGCAAATATACATCTAAAACATCCTTAAACTTTGAGCTATTTTACAGGGCTGCCGCTGTCCCGCTGCAGCTCACATATTGGTGTGTTTTGCTCCCTGGCAGACTCCGGACGAGAGCTGGTGATCACAGACCCCGTCATCAAGAACCGCGAGCTCTTCATCTCCGACTACGTCGATACCTACCACGCTGCTGCCCTCAGGTGAGCTCAGGGGCTCCGCGCTGGGCGAGGAGCCTCTCCTGCTTCCCGTGGGCTTCATTAGCATCTGCTCAGCGGCCTCCTCGTCACACGCTGTAATTAACTTGTGTTATCGGGTCTCCTTCAGAAAGGAGCTGTAATTCTAAAACCTCATTTTAATCCCAGTTAATCGGTGGTGCTTAGAAGATATTGTTTCCCATCATTGCCAATTTAGATTATTGCTAGTTCCTGCAAAAACGCTATCCTGGCCTCCTCTGTGTCGGATTTCACCATTAACAAAAACATTTCTTTGCAAAGTGACCGTTGGTCCTGATAAATGGCGTTAAAGACTTTCGCTTTGAGACACTTGTCATCATTGGCCTCCATTTAAAAAACAGCTGTACAAATTGGGGGTAACAGAGCCCCATATTGGTCTCTGTGCTCTCTGCCCCTTCCTGGGGGTTGATGCTCTCTGTCCCCACCAAGTTTTTAATTCAGGCTGGTCCTCTTCGAAAATATTGAAAATATTTTCGAGTAGAAAAGTGAGGTATTAATTTTGAGCACATACCAAAGCATCCATAGGTTTGGCCAAAATGTGAACTGAATAATCTCCCTGATGATGCTCAGATGGGATTTCAGTAGAACCATCTGGAGATATTTGAAGAGTCACTTTGCTGAAGCCACTTACCTCAAGAAAAACTAGCTGCAAATTCTTCTTGCAAGAGTTGAGGGGTGGAAATCTTTATTTCTTAGACTGTTTTAGAAGGTTTTTGATTGAACTTAAGAGTCTGATGGCATCCTGTTACCTCGTAAAACTCCACAGCGCCTTCTCCGAGTTTCTGATTCTAAATTGACGTGGTTGGGAAGTAGATAACAAGTTAACAGGAGATTGGCTATCGTGGTGGAATCAGTCTTGGAAATCTAGTTGTCAGCTTAAACACTGAGAACCTGAACCATGTGGGTGGAATTTTCCCTGGGAATATTATAACTTTCTGCATCTTTTCTGGTCTCTTATTTCAAGAAAACATAAAGATCAAACATGTGCATGTCCCAAGCACAGTGAAAAACAACTTCCCTTCCAAAAAGAGGCAAGGTAGCTCAAATGCTAGCCGGGTCATTTTCTCAGTCTTTTTCTGCCGTTTTTATTTGGCAATACATGTCACGGGTGCTTCATTTCACTCTGGTTTCAGTGTGTTGGGCTGCAGTTTTCCTGTCCATTGTGGGTTTTTCGTGATTTAATCATTCTTACAGGATAACGTCTTGTAGACAGTCATTACAAATGCTGATAATTGGAGCATATACTTTTTCCAGTGAAGATTAGAATATATTAGAATATATTCTTTCTGCTGAATTATTTTCTGAATCCTGGTGTCTAGTGCCTGTTGGGAGTTGTCAGTGTGCAAAAGATGGAGCCTGGGGGGTTCTTATAGTTTGCTTGAGACCCTGGAATAGGCAAAGATGCATTGGGATATCTGAAAAGAGGACTGACTTATAATTCTGATTTATGATTAAGTCAAATTATCACTATGCCGTTTGCTAATAAATGGTTCTGGTCAAACAAGAAACAAACCCAGTGATTGTAACTTCTGAACTTCTGCTCTAGCAAATGCAAAAAGCTAAATGGAAGATCCTTGTGGAAGTGGGTAATAAATTGTGGCCTTTTTCCCATACCTGGCAGAGCTTCGTAGCAGGAATATCAAGTCCTGCTTGTCTGAAGTGCTGTGAATAAGATGCACAAAACCCAGCGCTGCCTTTTGCCACGAGAGCAGGTGCCTGGGAACGGGGCGGCCGCAGGGACGTTTCTGCAGCCTCAGCTCGGAGCCAGATTGATTTTCCTGGGAGAACAGTCAGCAACTTTGCTCGCCTTCCGAGTCCCTCGTAGTGTTTTTTCTTTCCTTGTCATAGTGGATGTCGGGTATAAAGGAGATTTATGTTACAAGGCAAAGTCTGAGCTGCTGTTGCATGAACAGGAGCTTTTCCTGCCTAGGAAAAGATGGGGAAGGGAAGCAGGTCCTGGTCCCTGTCCTGCCTTGATTCTCTGTACACCACAACTCTCAGCCCTGTTGGGAAGGGTAGGCAAAAGCATCTGGGTAAAATCTTCTTCTCCATGGTGAACTGGTGGAAATAGCATTTCATTTACCCAAGAACGGCAAATCTTATTACAATATCAAATAAGTCATTAGAACAGTAGCATTTCCAATGCTTCCTTAAACACTTAACTGTAAAAGGACGGTAAAAACTCTGAAAATAAGATATTTAAGGATCACTTGTTAGCGTATCTGCCTCGTTTGGAGCGCCCCGGGGTTGCATGCTGACTGAGTCCAAATCAATCCCTGTTTGCCAAATGCCATCGGAGACCACCTCTGTCACTGCGTGTTCCTCCCTCGCCGCTACAGGAGGAATCTATGGAGGTTTGTGTCAAAGGCTGGTATTTGTGCAACTTCAGGCATTTGTGAGAGCACAAGGATGCCATGTGGCTTTACCCAAAATACAGTGGCTTTTAATGAAAATAGCTGTTATCCAAGATAGAATTCTAATAGCATTTCCTCTTTTTCTTTCAGGGGGAAGTGTAATATCTCCCATTTCTCTGACATATTTGCTGCTAGAGAGTTTAAAGCCCGAGTGGATTCATTTTTCTACATACTGGGCTATAATCCAGAGACAAGGTAAGTGAAGTGACTTTTAAAGACAAACTTTACCACAAATCTGAGCCTGTAGGAACTGTCGAAGGGAAGGTAAAATCAAATACGATACTGATAGAGAGGGGTTGGGAGGGAATATGAAGGGGAAGCTGAAATGTTCCCTTTGAGTTTGTATAGAGGAAAAACTAACAATAAATGACAAAATTCTACAGTAAGTGATGACTTTCAGTTGCATTTTGGGGTAGATAATGCGCTACTATAAGGTCTCCTTTCAGATTTTTCTTTAACATTGCAAACATTAGTGAGAATTCTCAGCTGCCTCCTACTTCTTGCACAAAACATACCTATCTCCATTCAGCCATGTTGGGGTTTTGTTGACACAGACTTTCCATGTAATTTCTCAGTTCTTGCTTGCATATGGAAATGCCCGTGTGGGCTCTTTTAGTAACAGTTCCTGCTTTAGGCAGGTATGTTCAACATGCCCTGGCATTTCATAGAGTTCTCTGAATCTGCTGCAGGGTTGTCCGGCCACTTTCCATCATCTGTGTTTGCAAAGCTGCTACTGGCCTGTCTCTTCATTATCTTGAAAGTCCAAGCACTTCTATTTTGTCATTTGGGTCGTTTTGGAAACACAGGATGCCTTGGAAATTCTAGCTGTTTTCCTTGTTAAGGCTTGAAGAATGTGCTGTCTAGGGGCCTGTTTTTATAGTAGTAGTAGCAGTAAAAGATTAATAACTCATCAGAGTGTTCAGCAAGGACTGTGCCCTCCAAGTTGCATTGTTTCTTTCAGCACAGAAAGCATAATTAGCTTGGGAAACTTGATTTGTAAAGATACTGTTGAGAACGAGCACAGTTTTAAGTGGGGATTAGATAGGCCTATAAAAAAATAAATATATCTATTGTTACACTGTAGATAAACAGGTTTCAATACAGATACAGATCTTCATGCTCTGGGGCATAGCCAAGCAGTGACTGCTTGCAGTTAGGGAGAACCTCCCTGTGTGGGCAGATTGCTGCATAATTGCCTGTTTTGGAGGTTCCTGTGCCTTACACTGAAGTGTCCTAAACTCTAGTGTGGCTGAGGCAGGATATGAGGCCAGGAAGAGCTCCATGTTAAAACACATTCAACATTCAAACATATTAAAACATTCTTGTGACATTTGTGCTGTGCTGAAGCAGGCTGATAAGATGCTGCATCTGCCAGGTTGGTCACGATGCACCTTGCTGGGCATCCATCATAGGCGACCCCATATGTAACTTTGTCACTTGTGTTTATTGCGCTTTAATTCTGAGGGAGTGAGTTAAATGAGCTATTGGATTAGTGTTCCAGATCGGTGTTAAATGGATGACTTCTGTGAAATTCCATTTGTGTGGGTTAAAGTTACCAGTGCGGTTTTCAACCTACCGTCTGCACAGAAGTAGCAGTTGTTAATTCTTTTGGCTATTAGAAAATCACTGAGCCTGAAATGATCAATGAAATGCGAAAGAGAAGCACTTAAAGTGGCCAGCTAATTGCTCAGAACAGCTAGCTCTCAAAATACGTGCTTTTCTTCATTTTCCTTCTGTTTTTTAAATGCTAGCTCTTGAGTCTGTGGCTTTTTTGGCTTGAGGAGCAAGGAAGGTTGTGACAACTGGGATATCTTTGTGTGCTTGG